CAAGACAACAATTTGGCAAGCAACTCGCCTGGTCGACCTTCAACATCTGCTCGAGCAACTTCCAATTGGCGGCCACATAGTGAGTCAAACAATCCCACCTGATCCTCTAGGTCAGGTATTTTCCTCTTCTTGACAACAACCTTCTTCTTCCTCTTCTCACCCTTTGGATGAAACTTTGCTTTCATCTCACCGATGGCCTAGAGGTATGCTGCCCTGTCATAGGATTTGGATCCCGAAACCGCTCCGTTCACCATAACGACACTTGGAATTCAGTCAATCCATGTAAACAAATATGGGAAGAAGATGAGGGATACCAATTCTTCACACCCTAATTATGAGATCAAATGACACCAGAATCCATCAAGTTTAATTATTAAGCCATTGAATATTCATAAATGAAATTTACTTTTTGCATTAAATTCTCTTAGTTGACTGGCAGTGCCTACTAAGACCACAATATTTCAGTCCATCAAGCCAAAAAACCTCATGTCGTACACTTCATTCCTTCAATGTGATTGATGACGTTTAAGTGTTAGATGTGTAATACAAAAGATTTGTGAGGTTTCTATGCTAAGTTTGAAGTTTAGGTATTACATATGTGCTACACAAAAATTGTGCATGGTTCGAACATAAGTATTGAATTTTAGGTGTTAGATATCCAATATATTTACAAAATGTATGTACGACTGATATCTAATTGTACCAATCCATAAATCTACATATATGTTACAGATGAATATTCAAAATTTAAGATCATTGATGCATACTAAAATATATCAAGAAAGAAAACAAATCATTGATGAGTTCTTGAATGATGTTGAGAAATTTGTACAAGTGGCATTATAATTATTCATTTACCTATTAGAAGGTAAGTTATGCTGCTCTTGTGCAAGTCACAAAAAACAAAACGTACTCAACACTTGAAGAAGTTAGGTTGGATTTATACTACAAGGGATTTAAACCCAATTATTAGTACTAGGCTTCATAAGGTGAGTATGAACCTGATATTCAGTGGGATCATGCTCGTGCCTCATCAAGTTATGCCTCCCCAATGCCTTCCTTCGCACATTTGTTCGATCTTGCCTCCGTCGCTCCTCCGCAGGTAACAAAACACTTGCTTCAATCGCCTCGTCCCTTCTTTCCCCTATTTCGCCGAGAGATCTGAGATTTTGGCAAGAAATTTCACTCGATCCAGTTGTTGTTTGGAAGTGTTGAGTTGGCTAAAACCTAGATCTACTCTGATAAAAATATAGATCCACTATTTCTGTGATATGTTTGAAGCATCAAGGCAGTTCCCTTCTTAATTCCTCATCCCAACCTTTAGTCGAATAGTGCATATTCACAGCAATCGAATTTTTTTTTTCCCGTTTTATGTTCATATGGACTCCATGCTATTCAAAGTTAGTGATTCTTTTAGGTTATTTCTTGAGGATTGATGATATTGATGCAATGTTTTTTTCCCTGCCATTCCATTCTTTGAGGGTATTTGTTGAGGGTAGTTTTAAAAAAAGCTATAGATACGTTATAGCCCCTCTCTTGACATTAGACAGTACCAGATATGTTGATACTAATTCTTTGAGTTATCCATCAGATGGGGAAGCTTGGAGAAACTTTGATCGTAGTTATATGGACTTTGCATCTGAACCACACAAATTAGGCTTGACTTATATGAAGATGAGTTCACACTATACTTCACGTCGCAACACCCTATTCATGTTGATCAGTGATTATTATGATATACTTTACCCCCTAATATTTCTATGACTGCACTGTTCTTAGTTTTGACCTTTATCATCCCAAGTCTACATAGCCCACATAGCCCAACGAAAAATTTTGATATCTATTTACAACTTCAGATATACGAGCTTCAAATAATACAGGAATCAGGCATGCTCATTAATAGTATTGTTACGAAACAAAATTTCCAGCAGAAAGCTAATTTTTTGTGGACAATTCTTGATTTTCCGGCTTATGGGATGCTACCTGGTTGGAGTACTACTGAAAAATTGATTTGTTCTTACTGCATGGATCTATCCAAATTATTACTTTAAATCATAAAAGAAAAAAATTGTGATTTGAATGTCATCCAATGTTTCTAGCCTATAATCACCCATTCAGAATGAATAGAAATGTCTTCTTCAAAAAATAGAGTTGAAAATTAAGTCATTCCCTTGAAGATAACGAGGGTCAATTTATGATAGATAATTAATGAAATATCAAAGATCACCGAGAGACCATAACTGACATCAGATCATCTACTTGATTTCGAAGTTACACTTAACTGATAAAGCGAAATATTTTATGGGATCTTCCATACTTGAGGACTAATTGGATTAGACATAATCTCAATGTTATACATATCAAGAAGAACTTTTTAATTATAATATCTTTAATAATGTGTTGGACATTAAGGGTAAAATAAAAGATAATGTCAATGTAAGATTGGAGTACTGCGAGAGGAGAATGGTAGAACTTTAATAAACAAATGCATGTAAAATAATAAATACCAAAGCTACATACATTCACACATTGGATCAACGAAGAAAAATATGTGAATGGATGCACTCTCTGAAGTTTCTTTGTGGCTGTGTCAAAACTTGAGTTGTTGCATTGACTTGAGAACATATAAGATATTATGTATGAAAAGTCATAATTTTCATACTTTTTACAGTAGAACTGCATTCAGTGTGGTGCCAAATATGGTACTTTATGCATTGATCCAAATCAATGCATTCTTCAAGGAGTTGTTCGTAAGGACTCTGAAAGTTGACTCATTAAAAAATCTTTATGCGACTATTCTTTTGTTGTTATGCAAGCTCTAGTGGATATTGTCTCCAAATTTCTTTGACACTATGTAAGAACACCACTATTTCAATTAAATTTTACAGACATATGTTTAGAATTTTGATTGGATTGTTTTTTTTAATTACAGGTTGTGCCCGTGGCCAAAAAATTCAAATTTAATGGAATTGAACCAGCTTTAGAGGAGAATTTCTACATCCATCAGTTCTTTTTCTGTGGGCCTCGCTAAGAACACCCTACAGTTAGTCTTTTCATTCTCGCCTGGAAGTGGCCGCCTCAAACCAGTCCTTGATCCACAACCACCTGCACTGCAATTGGATCCGTACCACTATCCACCGAAAGAGGATCGGCAACCGTTATCTCTATAATTGGGTGGGTTGTATCAAGGGACAATGAAAAGAAAAATAAATTTAGAGAACAATAAAAGCAAGATAAGCAAGACAGAAATACCTCGCACCAATGATTCGATCCCACTTGGACTTTATGAAGGACACAACACCCTCATTAGCTTTCTCCTTCACCTTGGTCTGTGGCGGAGCATCGACAGCTCCTTGCACCTCGAATGACACCGTTGTGCCAACAAATCTCTATGCAACCCAATCGATATGCAAGGTTTATGTCTCGGTAGGAGGCAAGACAACAATTTGGCAAGCAACTCGCCTGGTCGACCTTCAACATCTGCTCGAGCAACTTCCAATTGGCGGCCACATAGTGAGTCAAACAATCCCACCTGATCCTCTAGGTCAGGTATTTTCCTCTTCTTGACAACAACCTTCTTCTTCCTCTTCTCACCCTTTGGATGAAACTTTGCTTTCATCTCACCGATGGCCTAGAGGTATGCTGCCCTGTCATAGGATTTGGATCCCGAAACCGCTCCGTTCACCATAACGACACTTGGAATTCAGTCAATCCATGTAAGCAAATATGGGAAGAAGATGAGGTAGACCAATTCTTCACGCCCTAATTATGAGATCAAATGACACTAGAATCCATCAAGTTTAATTATTAAACCATTGAATATTCATAAATGAAATTTACTTTTTGCATTAAATTCTCTTAGTTGACTGGCAGTGCCTACTAAGACCACAATATTTCAGTCCATCAAGCCAAAAAACCTCATGTCGTACACTTCATTCCTTCAATGTGATTGACGGACAGATCAAGATTCAACAAATATTAAAAAATTAATCTTGATTTGTTATCAACATTTTAATTTAAATTAAAAATACATTTTTTTTTTAATTCTTCCAAGTTCCAAGGAAATGTATAACATCATCTTCTTCCTTGTGATTTTTTGTTTTGAGCTTAGGTACCCATTTTAGAGGTCAAGGGTTCTAATAAGAATATAATAAGAGCACGTGCGAGTTTTATGCTTCGGCAATCAACCTATGAAATAAATAATTACACACTATTAATTCAGTCGAATTCTTGTTGCATGATTTAAAAAATGAGTTGCTTTGCCCGCCAGGAGCCCTCCAAGAATGGGTACGTTATATATATACTAACTTATATACAGAGAGAGAGAGAGAGAGAGAGAGAGAGAGAGAGAGAGAGAGAGAGAGAGAGAGAGAGAGAGAGAGAGAGAGAGAGAGAGAGAGAGAGAGAGAGAGAGAGAGAGAGAGAGAGAGAGAG